TACTAAATCAAAAGGATTGTGATAAACCGTAGAATAGCTTTCAGGCAGTTTCCGAAGTTGCCGCACACTAGGATTGCCTTCACATGCAGATAACATCAAGAAGCCATTTTCCTGATCCTCCATATCTGTAGATATATATATATGTAGAATCAGGCAGCATGTCCCATTGCAAGTTCTTAATCCGGATGCCCGTAAGAGCCAGTTGGTTAATGCTTCTGGGTCAGCGATCACTGAACATTTGATAAATTGCAGGGATTGTGCGAAGAACTTCAGTTCGAATTGGTTTACTGTACTGTCCAGTTCGCACTCTCCATTTCATTTGAGGGCACTTGAGTCTCTGTACATTCGGTCCAGGGAGCCGTCTCTTTGCAAGCAAAGAGACTGTTTCCTTGGGCTTCACGTTATTACACTCTAGTGTGTATCATAATTTCCCCTCACACTCCCCATTTTTTTCCTTTGTGCTGTGCATATTTGCGCGGTTTGAAATATACCTTTTTTTCCCCCTCATGCCATTAATTCATTTAATTTTTTAATGTTTTAATTGTATATAGGGTGTTTGTGTGAGTCAATATATATTGCAATAATTGTTAAATTGTTCCCAGTCGACCCTGATGAGCTTGGGAACGAAACCGGTTGGTCTGTTCTGTAAGTGTTATCGTCTCTTATTTTTTTTTATTTTTCATAATGCCTTTAGGAAATAATTTGTATCTATTCCTTGCAATATTACGGTTCTGCACCTCCAAAAATTTATTTAAATATATGTGTGTGTGTGTGAAAAGTGTGTGTATATAAAGGTAAATATATATATATATATATATATATATATATGCGTGTGTGTGTGTGTGTGTGTAATATATTATATATATTATTATTTATATATTGTATGGGCGGTACTTATTAGAAAGCGCTCAATATCAGAGATAGAGCTAACATATTTGGTTGATTGATATATATATATATATATATATATATATATATATATATATATATATATATATATATATATATATATATATATGTGTGTGTGTGTGTGTGTGTGTTTATGCGTGAGAGTTGTAAGCATACAACATATACATTGAAAATTGCAGACCTAGCTTCATCATATTGACACACGCTCGCGCAGCAAAAATGCGATCAACTTTTTCCTATTTGTTGATAATGTGTCGAACAGAAATCTTCTATTCACTTTACAATTTGTTTGCAAACAATGAATATAATTTTGTTTAATTTAGTTCGCACGCAACAGGGATATTGTATCTGGGCATAGATTTGGAAGAATTCGGTAATAAATTTATTTTAGAGGATAAATCATTAATATCTACCTCATCAGATCGAAATTCCAAAATGGTTTAAATTTAACCAGAAAGTAAAACATAAAAATCGCATGGATCTGTTCACCTGGGAGGATAAAACAGATAAACAAGATCCTCAAATTATAACAATCCTACAAGATCCTCAAATTATAACAATTTAAATTCATACAAAATCTGAAACTAAAACAAAATAAAGAAGCATTTAAACGAGACTGAATTAAATTTTCATGTATTTTATTAACTTTGAACCTTAAATATATTTCGTTAAATACGACGGACAAGAAAATTTTATTAAATTTTTACTTATTAAAATATAATGGGCAATTTTCTTTATTTTAAAGGCTTAAAGCACGCAGCTCGGTCAACATTAACCTCACCTTGTTTGATTACAATCATCAACACAAGACGATTCAGAATTAATGCTCCGACTGGAAATGATAAACACACAAATAATACATCTCACACAGTCAAAACTTGAAAAGAAACTAACAACACAAAACAAGCTCCACCCCTTGAAAATAACTCTAGAAATGGCCGAAAGTGCTTGTGAAAATGGGCGATAAGGAGAGTTTTTGTTCTACCTCACCCCCAACAAACGGAAAAATGTAAGAACCTTAGGAAAAAAAAAATAAAAACAATTAATAAAATGTTCCTTGTCCTCATATTTAACAAAAGACACACACACACACACACACACACACACATATATATATATATATATATATATATATATTTAGCTTATGCAGTGTTACATTAGAACATGCACAAATCCACTACAAAATTGTAACACCGTGATTCCCCACCTGATGAGACGTTTAAAAACGGTTTTCCCTTTTTGATGTTGAAACAAAAATGTACAATTTTGTAGTGGATATGTGCATATTCTAAAGTAAAACTGCATAACATAAATAAATATTTACGGCTCTACTTTGTGTATTGAGCACTGATTTTAAATTAATGTTCTGAACGCTGTATTCTTACTGTTCGTTCCCTACACATTGATTGATATATATATATATATATTATATATATATATATATATTCAACGTTATTGCATCATTGCATTTTTCTTCTTCTCCTTTGATAAATAAATCCTTTGCATTTCTCATATTTTATCTGCTCTCACCAGGTTTTCTCCCATTTCATATTGTAACGAGCGAGTGATATTCTTCATTGACTCAATATAT